GACTGTGCCCTGTCACACGCTGCCCAGCCGGCCGGTGAGGACCCTGGAGCTGCAGGCAGGTTGGGGGAGCCTGGGCCCCGGCCCAGGAGTTGTTGTCTGAGCCCCATTCCTGGTTGTCTGTGCGCTGGCCAGGGCTCGGAGGTGGGCTGGCCTGGGCTGGGCTCTGCCCTGGAATCTTAACACCTTGAAGGAGATGTCTCCTCCCCTGTTCCCCTCGGGCTTAAGGTACCTGCTCAGAGGGAGGCATGGCGCTCCAGGGGTTGAGGAGAGGGAATGAGCTCCTGGGCTGTGGGTAAGATGCCGGGGGAACTTCACCGGGGGCGGCAGCCTGCGGAGGGGGAAATGATGGCTGTGGAGTCTGCTGTCCGAGGTCCCAGAACACGGGAACGCCTCCTCGCTCCTGCTGGGGTTTGAGCTGAGCTTCAGAGTTGGGGCTGGAGCCCCGGCCATCCCGGCGGCTGCTTCCCTGTGGCCTGGGCAGCCCTTCCATGCTGCTGTGGCTTTGTGGCCGCTGTGGCCGCTGTGGCCGCTGTGGCTGCTGTGGCTGCTGTGGTCGCTGTCCCTCAGTCCCCCCGGGCAGTGTTCCTGTGGGGCTTGGGGCCACACCCTTCCTGCCTCTCACCAGCTCTGACACCACAGTGCCAGCGCTTCTGGGCAGGGCCCTCCAGGGCTTCGGCTCTTTCTGGATCTTGCCCTTCATACCCTCCCAGCCCCCACCCAGTCCCGCACCCCACATGTCCAGACCCTGGGAGACTATAATGGGCCACTGAGCTCCGAGGCTCTGAGCCAACGGATTTAAAGAGCCTGGCCGGGGGCTACTCACCACCCCTCTGGACCCCCGGGGACTGAGCTCAAGATCAGCCCCATTTTCCATGTCCCACTGTCTTCCAGGGCGCCTTCCAGGCCTCTCCTCCCTGCTCCTGCTGGTTGAGGCCGTGGGTGGGTCATGGGCCGCCTGCAGGTAGAGTGGGTAGACCCAGCACCAGGACCTCTGCCTTCCTGGTGCCCCTGCCGTGCACGCACCCGCCCACTACCCGCTTCCCCTCCCACTGCTCTGCCTCCCCAGTCTTCGGAACTTTCTCTGGGCCCTGCCTGCCCCAGGCCCCTCTCCTGGGGCTGGCTCTCTGTTCCTGCCATCGCGATGGGGCAACAGGACCAGGTGCAGTCAGAGACTCTGAGAGCCCGACAAGGTCACCGCTGAGTTCAGGGCGTCAGGCATGCTCTGTGGGAACCTTGTGAGAATCGGATGAAACAATGGGGGGACGCTCACAGCAAATTGTAGGCCCCACAGAAATGAAGGGACACCGTGGGCCTCTTGGGCACCGTTGTCCAGACTCGGCTTCTCCTGGTTAGAACCCGAGCCCTGGCACGCGCCTGAGACGGGTGTGGCATTCCTAACATTCCTAACTACTTTGGGCCTCAGTTTCAAAACCTGTACAATGGGCTTCTCCCCCACAAAGAGCCACCAGGAAGTGGAAATGGGACCGATAGAAGCACCCGATGGGCTGCTGTCTCCATCGGCCACACGTGCTCAGCCTGGCTGCTCACACCGACCCGCGTCCCCTGTGGCAGAGCCAGGACTTGCTCCACACAGGCATGAGCCTCTCTCAGGTGGAACTTACCTGCCAAGGTAACCAGTTAGGGGCGAGAAGTCATATTTAAATACATTTCTAGCATCTTTAACAAACAGATAGACAGACCCCTCCCACCCAGCTGATGGCCACGAAGTCCTGACTTCACCACCACCGGCCGCCGCGATGCTCTGTGCAGGGACTGGCTCGCCGCACACGAGGAGGCCGCGGCGTGGGGGCTAAGCCACCGCCAGAGCCCCAGCCGCCTCCCGGGGGCTTGGGCCGATATTGCCACTCCGTGCACCCGCCTGGCCCAGCTGGCAGGTCACCAGGCCCAACTCTGGTTCCACCAGCAAGTTCACAAGACCAGCATCTCAATGGGAACCCAGCCCGCCTCTAGGCTCCTCGAGGTGCTCCCAACCCCTCAAAGGCCCAGCCCATCCTCCAGCCATGGCACCAATGCAGGTGAGCCCGGCATGGGCTCCGGCTGCTGACGGGAGAAGTCAGGGGCCTCGGCCGCACACGGGCGTGGGCTCGACTCCTGACTGTAATTCTGAGCATCCACACTGAGTTGGGTTTGCTTGTCTGTAAAAAGGTATTTCCATCCTCAGGGCTGGAGGACCGCGAGGCCGAGACATGGAAGCGAGTTGAGCTCTCACACCACCGGGCTCCTAGCATTGTCTTGTTTGAGGGAAGGGAGCTCCCTCCCTGAGGCCGGGGAAGGCTCAGGGGGAGAACGGGACCAAGGCCTGGCAGGCAGACGGCCACATGCCGGGTCCCAGGCCGACGCCAAGGTTCGGCCAGCATGAGTGCGAAGGGTTTTGATCTGGCCTTTGTCCGGCACCCTCACGTCTCCCTAAGCTGAGCTGGCACTGCCCAGCAGCCCTCTGGTCATGCCCTGTGGCTGTCACCGCTCAGCTTGCTGGCACTGGGGGTGCCGGTGCAAAGGGGGCGAGGAATGGCCCTCCGGCCCAGCTGCCTTGTGCCAGGTGGGCAGGCTCTCCCGCTGACCTCAGTGGACCCTCGGAAGCACCCATCCTACTCCCCAGATGGAGAACAAGAACAGGGAACATTAAGTGGCTGTCCCACGGTCATGCTGGTGGCCCAGGATCGGCCTGCCGCCGGGCTCCCGTGTGGTCAGCGGCTGCCCGCCGCCTTCCACACGGCCTCGCCTGCTCTCCTGTCCCCCCAGTCCCGTTCCCTGGGGGCCTCCCGGGGCTGATGTGTTTTCATCCTCTGGAACCTACACAGCCCGGGGAGGGGGCCGAGCTCTGGTCCCCTGGGCTCAGCGTGGCAAGTAGCCGCCCTCAGGCTCCTGAGCACGAGCGCGTGTGTCCCTGCCGCTGCTGGGCGTCGGGCCCTGTGCGTTCACCGCGTGTGGCACCAGGATGGCGGCTCCCCTTGAATTCGTCCCACAGGCTCCACAAACAGGAGACAGTGACCACATCAGCCACCTCTGACTCTTAGAAGAGAGAATAAATAAAATGGAATGCAACCCGCCTGCCTGGGAGGGATGCCGCTGCTGCCTGGGGCTGGGTGTTTGCATGACAAGGGCTTCTACTAGCTGGTGGGCTGAGTGAGCCCTGCAGGGCTGTCCAGCTCCGAGGGCGGGGAGGAAGGGGACAGGTGTGGGGCCGGACCCTGTGTCCTCCGCTCACCTGCTGGCTGAGCCCCGC